CCCCGGCCCAGCCGCAAAAGGCCGGGCGCCCGCTCCTCCCCGGGATCTGAGGAACCGCGCGGACCCTGAATGGCGAACAAAAGGCCGGGCCGGCCAGGATCCGCGCCTCGCCCCCGGGACTGGTGCCCGCGCCCAGCCCAGGCCTGCTCGGCCGCACCGCGGCTCTCTTACCCGGAACCGCGGCCTTCACAGCCCCAGCCCCGCCGGCGTGCGGGGGACCCCGGCCCCGCTCATGCTGCGGACAGTCGGCAGCGACGCGCCGGCCTCAGCTCGGGCCCAGCGCCGGGGCGCTCGCGCCGCCCATTGTTAAAGGACCGGCGGGCGGCTGGGCGTACAAAGCCAGCGCGGGGGCACATGCAGTCCTGCACTGCCAATCTCTTCTCGCGATACAGCGGGGTCGCCCCCAGCCGTCCAATCGGCGGCCAGGCCGGGCCCAGGTGCTACGCCCCGCACCGCTGCTCGACGGCCCCCTCCCGGGTGCTCACAGCGTCCCGGGCGGCTCGGCCCGCCCTTGTGCTTTGGGCCTGGAGCCCGTCCTTCACCTTCTTCGAAACCGGCCTGAGAGCGGATCCGGGTCGGTAGAGAGCGCCCGAGAAATTTTAATGTTGACCATTAGGTGACCCATCTGGTTAAGCCACTCACCTGCTGAGAACGTTCGGTGCCCCGCGTGCAAGCAAAAGAAAGTTCGGACGCCTTATTCTGGCGATTAAAGCTCTTCACAGCTTGAAACCAATGGGCCCTACCTCAGATTGCTACATCCTAGGGGATGCTCAGGATCATCAGTCCTTTTAAATGGGTTTTAGGTGTTTCTGTAATCTCTAAGATGTTATCTCCGCGAGGTGTTCTACCTCAAAATCCACTCCTCTTTTAGAAACCTAATTAATCCTATCCTTCGCCGTATTTCTTTGCTTTAGAGATTCCCGAGAACTTTTCAAGAAGGGAATTAACATTACCTTCAATAACCTAGCTTGTCAAATCCATAGAGGATGTAATTAACCATCTGTGGTAGTAAATCAGGAAACTACAAAACTGGAAACACTGCAACATCAATTAAGGGGTGCTGGAACTGAAATGTGGTTAGCAGAAACCAAATCAATTGTTATTTTCATGTTTGGTGGACTATCACAAAAGAAGGGGATGGTCAGCTTAAGACAGATCTGCACATAATAAATCAGACTCTTAATACTAAAAAATTATGGGACCCACCACTTTTGCTTTTGAATCCAAAAGATGATAAAGAATTACTACTCAGGATGATAAAGAATTACTACAAAGTGATGAATGGACCTTCTGTGAATCTGAGGTTTGTCACAATGGCAGAACAGCAGCAGACCATACGATTAGACAGCTGATCATAGACAATGTTTATGCCCAGGAGAACAGGGCAATAGGAACCAATGTTAAGAAAACGGAAACTCAGAAGTGGAAGTTGGCATAGCCTGGCAAAGTCCAGGGAGAAGCTGCCTGACATATCTCAGAAAAGGACACATAAGGATAAAATCTTACCATTTTTTTTAATGGCATTTAAATAGTACCTGCCTCCTTAATTTTCCAATTCCTGACTTCTAAGCAACTTTATGACAATCATTTGGCCTACAAATGACTTAAATGTCCAGGGCCTCCTTAAGAACTCTTTCAGAAAAAGGGGTCACAGACTATAATCATCAGTGTAATAAACAGGTTGTCTCTCCTAGTTTCTACTTTGAAGACGTTATTCATTAGAAGACATTTGTTCAGAAATCATCTTTATGTTATTTTTCTGGACTTGCCTCATTATAAAACTTGTGTTTATTTCTTTTATACATTAATGTTTGGGGCATGTGTGCGTGTCCCCACTATGATTATACATCCCTAAAAATGCAAATTTCAGGTTTGTTATGATTTCTTTAGTACTTTCTTTAGCACAAACTGGATACAAGGCATTTCACCTATTCCTAAATGAAGTCTCTGTTTTCGCGAAGTTTGTATTCTACTAGGAAGAGATAAACATGATAAATGAACAACAACAAACACATCACATGGTGACAAGTGTGGTGAAAAAAAAAATAAACAGGATATGAGGTTTATAATGTGACCATGGGCGGGGCGGGGGACATTGTTTTATAGAAAGGTGGGGTGTGCAAAGGACTGAGGAAGCATGCAGATATCTGGTGGTTGATTATTCCAGGTAGAGGGAATGGCAAACACAAAGGCTGTAAGGAGAAAGCATGTTTGGAATGAAAATGGAGACTGATTTCTCTAGCTGGAGTGAAGAGAAGACAGGAAAGATTTCCAAATTTAGGAAGCAATGATCAACAAAGGTACAAAAGGACGGAAGTGAAAAAGACAGAACATCTACATTAAGAGCAGAGAATGGAAACTATAGAGTCCAGTGTGCCTGCAGTAGAAGACACAAGTGGATTTGGCAAGAGATGGGGTGTGGTCAGAATTTCTGGACAGCTTTTGTAACTCACTGAACTTTACTCAGTGAAAAGCCACTTTTTAAAAATGGCTTTAAAAAAAAAACAAATGCATGCAAAATATAAAACATTTAAACAGTAGAAGACTGTACACAATGACTAGCAAATCTCTCACTCTCTTGATCCCAGTTCTTCCTAGAGGCAACACTATTACTCTTTTGTATTATTCCAGAAATAATCCAGGTCTTTATAAACATCCATGTGTATGGCCCCTTTATCCCATTTTGTGCACAAATGGTAGAACATTACAATCTATGTTGTGTACCTGTTTTTGACATATAATATATTCTGGTGAACATTCCATGACTGAACACCCAGGATTCCTTTCAGTGGCTACATTGTGCTCTAGTGAATGTAAAGACTGGTATCCAGAAGCCCTTTCTCTGGTTCTTGATTCATTGTGATTTGTACTATTAATCTCACTGAACTACTATTCATATTAACATCCTTGCTTAAGGCATCATTGTCTTATTGTACTCCTCCTGTCCTTCTCCAAGAAATTTGACCCTAGCTAGCATCTGGGGTGGTTATAAAAAAGGCAAATTACACCTATTATGTATTTATTTTTGTGATGCTAGGGATCAAGCCTAGGGCCTCACACATGCTAGGCAAGGGCTGTACCATTGTATACTCCCACTTGATAGAGAAGATTTCCTGGGTCACTTTTCCAAACCACTTTAGCATAACATAGAATGTTAAGAATACTTTCTAGGGCTGTGATTGTAGGTTAGTGATAGGGTGCTTGCCTAGCACATATGAGGCACCTGGGTTCCATCCTCAGCACCACATAAAAATAAATAAAATTAAGGTATTGTGTCTACAATATATATATATATATATATATATATATATATATATATGTGTGTGTGTGTGTGTGTGCGCGAATGCACATAAAATAAAGAAAAAAATAATACTTTCTAAAGCTATTTTTAAAAATAGGGGCTAGAATTTGTAGGTATTTATAATCAGTTTACTAGAAAGTGTTCCAGAATTCAAAATGCTACATGAGATTCTACTCCAGATAAGATGGATATAATAGTTATTTCTATGTGTATACTTTACTGGGCCATAGTGTGCCCAGATACTTAGTCAAATACTTTGAGGGTGATTTGGATGGGATTTGATTGGGACATGTTGACTGTCCTAATCTCTAGCTTGTTGACAGAAGATCTTGGCCCTTCTCAGTCTCCATGATCATGTGAGCTAATTTTTCTTTTATATCTTCATATTTACATTTGTGTGTGTGTATATATATATATATATATATATATATATATATCTACATACACATACATGTGTATATATGCACACACATCCTATATGCACACATACACGTGCATGCACGTGCACATACAAGCGGGAGCACACGCGTTCTATTGGTTCTATCTCTGGAGACCTCAAATACAACAGATTAAACAAACTTTTCCCTTTCTTTCTCATTGAATGTGGCTATAAAACCTGGACAGGTTAAAAAAAGTAAATAATAGCAGATGACTAGGGTAGATCATAATTTGAAATATCACCAAACTGGTGGTGAATTACCCCATTCTTTCTCCAGGATCCCTAGCTTGAAATCCAGAAATGGCTACCAGAGCATGGGTGGAAAGAAAGAAAACACTAGAATCCTTTCAATCATGAGGAATGGGAAAGTAGCCTCATAATGCTCACAAGTTGAGGCAATATTCTTCCTTCTTTCTTTCCCCTTTCCTTCCCTCCCTTCTCCAGCCCCCAAGCAATCCTGTTACCAGAATAAAATGTCCCTGCTGCCTGCTGCTGGAATACCAGTCTTCAGGAGATGAGCTTTGGTAGGAAAGAATCATGTTTATTCAAGGGCCACCAATCTTGAGAAAAGATGGACTTTTTTATTGCCTCAAAGCTCCATCTTGAGAGGGCTCAGGAATGAAAGGCTTTTGTTGGGAGGAAAAGGAAGTACAGAGAATAGGAAGTCTACAGGCTCTTGGGGGATGGGGGATGTCTTGATCACCGAGGGGTGTATTTTCTTTCTTCTTCTGTGGCCAGGATATTGCTATGGACTTTCCTGCAGCTAGTCAGGAAAAACCTAAGGAAGGGTTTTTCTTCAGCAAAAAAAAAAAAAAAAAAAAAAAAAAGATTAGGGAGGAGTGAAATGGCAAAAGGGAGGGCAGGGGAGCAAGGGACAGTTTCAAAGGTGCTTTTGTTACATCCTGCAGTAAATGTAGTGGTAGCAGCACAGCAGGGGTAAGGGGAGGATGCAGAGGTGCCTAAAACTCAAGGGAGCAGAGATTCCTCTCTCAAGAGAACAGCTGTGGTTGCTTTTTCCCCTCTTTGTCCTTCCACAACTTCAATCTGGAGTAGGTACCAATATCAAACACACCAGCTTCACTTCAATAATGATGACATTCTGTAAGGCTGGGCTTTCGCTTACAGAATCACCTGGGGAGCTTGTTGAAAATCACGCAGGCTCTGGAGCTCCACTCTCTGAGGTTCTCATTCAGTAGGTCTTGCAAGGCACCCAAGAATCTGCATTTTCAACAAGACTCTCCAGGCAGAAGTAATGTGAAGCCTACTGTAGACAGTGACACCCAACAGCCTCAATGCCCCAAGCGTCCTCTTGAAGGAGGTCTCTGGTGAAGAGGTCATCTAGATTCATCCTTAAAGACTTGGGGTGGGGATTAGTCTCCATTGTGCCCAATTGTGTAGGTAAATAAGGCTCAGCATGCAATTGGACTTGAGCATAAGCAGCCAAATTCCATGGTACCAGAAAAGCTTTAGAGGCTTCTGTCTTTTCCTTTTCCCTTCTTCTTTTCACTGATGTCGGGCTAAGGAAGCCAAGTAGACCCACACAGACAGTATGTTGTTTGGGTATGGATGAATGTACACAGCTAAAGCATATTCTGTCTGGGGAAATTCAGAAGCGTGAATTCCAGTCTGATACACAGCATCAATAACAGACTGTACATCAGTGTATCGCATCTGGATGGGAAATCCTGTGATCTGGATCAAGGACAGAACAACATACAAACCATATTACAATCATGGAGATAATCTGGAATTACTGGATGCAAAATGATAATAGCAGGCTCAAAGAAAGAGTACTCATAAAACCATTGTTCTGTGGATGTTGATTATGTCCTAGTTTTACAGTGCTAAATGCTTCCCATACATATTTAATCCCAAAATGACCCTATGAGGTAGGTTCTATTGTAACAGCCACTTTACAGATAGAGAAGAGCTTAACTGGGTCTGTCTGATAACAGAACCTACACAATTAACTTGCAAACAGCTGACAAGGATATTACTTGGCTTTACATATGAGTAATTTATTCAACAATGATTATATGTATTAAGTGACTACCGTGTGATAATATAAAAGGGTTGTGGAATACAGTCCTAGGTAGAATTATTTAATAAGACAGATGACCGTAATAAACCTCTTTTTTTCAGCCTGAGATTGCCTACCTTAGGTGGATTTTCCTGGTCCTCAAATCCATTTACATGTCCTTCATATGTGATTGAGTACTGCAGCATCTCTCCATTCACTTACTTAATAAAATATATTGTAATTATCTGCTTTCTAGTCTAACTAGCCTATAATCTGCGTGAATGCACAAGATTGTATCTTTCTTGTTCATTGTCATAATTCCAGTGCCTGGCACGTAGAATAAAAATAATAGTTAACATTTAGTATAAAAACACTTATCTAGGTTCTGGGTACAATGGGTACAATATTGAGTAATTTAATCCTCACCACAACCACAAAACAGCTTTTTTTTTTTWAAAAAAAAATCCCTGTTATCCAATGGGATAGAAGGTAAAATGAAGTTAGATAATTTTCCCTAGTGAGTGGCTACATCACTAGAATTTGAACACAGGGTCCAGGGTTCAGTCCAGTTTTATTATTTTTGACTACGTATTATTAAATAGATAACTTTACATAGGAACTCCAAGTGTTAAACCTTGGTTTTTATTTTATTATGTTTTGCAACTCACCCCTTTAATTCTATTAAAAAACCAAGCAAAATAAAAGCAACTTTCTCCTTATTTATGAATGAATAGTGCCTGCAGATCCCTCTCTTGAAGCCTAAGGACCCAACTGCCAACAGGTCCTTTACCTCTCAGGGAGTTTCCCTAGGATACATCTCATCTATTTGATGGTACAGGAAAGGAGTCTCACTCTTGTAAGTATGGGGTTTTCAAAAATCCACTGGACCAGTTTACAGGGAAATGGAGGTAAAAGGACACCTAGGTGCTGTAGAAGGAAAGGAGGACCCTAACAAATACCAAAAGCCCAACCTGTTTGCCTGTGGACTTGCTAAATTTGAGATGCCTCTTTACTATTCAAGATGTCACTAGACAAATGAATATAAGAAGGGAGGTCAAGAAAAAGGTCCAAGGGCTGGGAATGTGGCTCAAGTGGTAGCGCKCTGCCTGGCATGCGCGAGGCACTGGGTTCGATCCTCAGCACCACATAAAAATGAATAAAGATACTGTGTCCACCTAAAACAAAACAAAACAAAATAAACATTTAAAAAAAGAGAAAGAAAAAAGTCCAGGCAGAATGTATACATTTGGGAGCAATTTGAATATGGGAGATATTGAAGCTTGCCTAGAATCCTCTTGCCCAGAATAACAGGGAGTCCAGTCTATTACTGGAGATCATTTTTCATTTTTCAGTTGCAGTGTGTGTTCTTTTGGGTATCACTTTTCAAATTTTGTAGTTCATATGTCATAAAACATGCAACTTGTCCCAAGAAAATGCCACACAATATGGTTCTATAATAATTGTTCACTACATTGGCAATTTCCTTGGTTCATAAGTAAATACATTTTAATGCCATAGCATCTATCTTGTAGGACAAAGATAAAAGGCACTTAAGAAATATTGAAGATTGCTATTTTTTGGCAATGAACAACACAGATAACCCAAGGTTATTAATGCATGAAATCATATACAAACCCAATAAAATTGCATCAGTCTTTCAAATTCACTCTCTTCTTCAGATGAAACAAAGCTTCTTGTGCCAAGTTCCAGCTTAGGGAGGAGTTGTTGCAAAATAGAAATACATTGTCGATTCCAACGTGTTGTGTGTTTAGGTCTCCATTCCATGATCTTACACTTTAGAGTCCTTTCAATCCTAAGGTAAGAATGCAAAGATAATTCTGTGACAAATTACAACACATTTAGTAAGTGTGATGAGAGTTTTGTCATTTGATTCTTTAAGTATGAGAATGATGCTTTTTGGTCGTAAGAGGAAACCAGACCTCTTTAGCTAGGGCCGTCTGCCACCATTCACATTAATGAAGTTAGGAAGAAACAGGGGTTGGTTGGCTGGAGATTGGTTGGCCAGAAACTAGGTCTCTGGAGCACAACTCTTTTCCAGTTACCCGTGAGTTAAGAAGCTGCTGAAAACATCTACTGACCAACATCCCTACTCTGTAAGACCTTTCTTTGATATATGACATTGTTTTTCCAAGAATACAGAAACTCAGGTATCTTGCCTGGGATGATGTTAACAGGGACAAGATTATTAGATCAGTTAATTTAATAAGCAGAGTTGAAAGGAAACCAGGCAATGGACTAATGGGTTTGATTATCAGCCTTCCTCTACAAGAATATGGCTCAGTGAGGGTTTATCAGTTAGAACAGTGTCTGGTGAGGAACTGTGCTGGGAAGAGGAGGGAAGGCAGAACAGTATGGTTGATGGGGACCTCCTGGGAAGCCTCTCTTCTGTGTAGGATGACTGCGTGGATTTAGTTTCTAACCACAGTGTGTGTTACAAAAGCTGCTGGGAGTTTCTTCTTGGCTAGGTTTAATGATGCAGCTAAATAGGTAGGAGTTTGCAGAGGATCACAATAGTAGCTATTCTCAGAATCCCCTGCAGGGCTTTATCAGAATGTTTCTTTCACCTCCAGATAAAAATTCAAGAAGTCTGTACTGAGCCCTGGGACATGTAATTAAAAAATTTTTTAAATGTAAACTTGTTAAAAACTGGCAAATGAGGAAAGAAAACAGAGGGCGAAGTGGATTGTGTTCCAGTGAGAAAAAGGAGTGGCCAGATGATTTTCATCACACTGTTCTGATTAGTTGGTAGTGGAGTATCTGCCATGTGAGTAAGTCACTGGAGACAGTCAGACCCAAAGGCTTCTGATGCATTTAGATTAGAAGTGAGGCCCGCTGCAAAGTCTGTGACCCTTTGGACTTGACTGAACATTTCAAGGTACCTGCATGCAGCAACAATAACACTGTATCTATCATTCAAATGGGATGTTTTTACCATTCTCAGGGTCACTGTCATTTTCCTTTATGTACTTCCAAGAAGCGTTAGCTGCTGCATTGTTATTAGCTTAGGTTCAACAGGCATCTGTGCTGGGAACTTTCCATCAGTGGCCTACAGTGTTCTCCCGAGTTAATTTGGACTGTCCATTCAAAGAGTGCCCTGGATGATAAGAGGGTTCACTTTTCAATGTGTCTGTCAAGAGACAGGTGGCTCAGTGGAACTAATGGCTGATGTCTTCCTTTTCATGCTTCTCTTGGTGAATCTAACAGGTATTTTAAAAGGCTGGGATAGAGGAATGAAATGTGACTGAATAAGAGATTAGCAGGAGACCACGGTACCTGTTCTTTAGATCTTCTACCATGCTTTTATTAGTATCAGAATAAATGATTTCTTCAGGCTGAAATACAGATGATTGAAAATCAGGAAAGATTGTAGAGAGGCCATCTTTATATCACAGTTACCCCTGGGATGCTAAGACTAGGGGACCCAAGCCTATCTCTCACGGCAAAAACACTCCATCCTTTTGGTAAAACATAGATCACAGTATTTCCTTTGATTTCAACATTGCTTCAACAGAGCAAGGGAGAGGGCATGGTTTTACAAAAAAAAAAAAATAAATAATAATTTTCCATGATTAAGAGACCTTTCATCACCTCATTTATTCAAACAAGCATTTGACATGCTATTGATTCTACCAAATAGTCTTTGACAGCTGCACTGGTCTCTTATGCCTACTGTGACTTTGGCAAAGTTACCTAATCTGTTTTTTTGAGTTTGTTACTTCCTCTTTAGAACAGGGACAGTTATAGTGCCCACTGCTCTGGGATCTTGTGAAGATTTTTTTGTGTGAGAAGATTTTTAAATAGAGTAGTATGTGTAAAGCCGGACCCATGGAATACTCAATGAACATCAGACATTAATGCTATTGTTATTAGTCCTCTTCTAACAAAGTTTATCATTATCCTTCTGAGTGCTTGCTTCTTATACTTGTCAGGAGCCAATTCTTTGTACTTACAAGTGTGTGCATGTGCACCTAATCTCACACACACCCAGATCCATTTTACCCTCCCCCATCTCTGAGCTCTTGCCACAGGCCCACGCTCCCAACAGCCCTGAGGCACAGTTCTTCCTTCTTCCTCAGGTTCTTCCTCAGGTTTGCCTCCTAGACAGAATTTTCTAGGAGGAGGGGAGAACTTCTCAAGTGCCCTCTCAACTCAACTCTCCCCTCCCTGCAGGGCTCACAAGAGTGAGAGCAAGGGGCTGGGTTTTGAGAGCTTAGGCAGCTGTAGGGACAGGGAAAGATGTTCCCCTCACGAGTGGAATGAGGATTCTACAAAAGTGGGCAAAAGGGATAGGCCTAGAGGTTCCCCAAGCATGGCCCAGACCAGCAATCCTAGAGTTGGGAACTTATTTGAAATACACTCTGGCCCTCTCCTCAGATCCAATGAATCAGAAACTCTGGAGTGCGGCCTAGTGATCTGTGTTTTAATGAGCCCCCCAGCTGGTTCAGATGCCCTGCATGGTTGATGAGCCATTAAATAACAGTCTCAGGCCCAGGGAGTCTCCTCAAGAGTCACGGCAAGAGAGAAGAGACGCTGAGAAAGGCAAGGATGAACTCCATTGTCTTTGCAGGGACAGCAGCCGTCCCACACACACCAGTGGACTGCACTCCCTGATGGTTCGCACCGCCATTGTCTACCTCCCATCTTTCACCAGGCAACTGCTGTGGATGAGCCTGGCCCCTCCAGGTCCCACCCCGAGGCCTGGGAATGTTGACTTGGTAAGTTTACAGGATGTCTGTTGGTTTTTTTTTTTTTTTTTTGTTTTCTGGCAAAGGCCACTTTCTTTCCAGGAACTCATGTCCCTCAATACTTCAAGAGGGTTTCCTTGTCAACCCCATCTCTGAATACCCACATGCTCATCATGGACGCTCAAATTTGTGTTCTTGGTTGTATGTAACAGACGGTGTTCACTTTAGTTGTGGTTTGTTCTGGGGTGAATGTGGCAAGGGGCAAGAACAAGGACCATTAACCCAGAGAAAAGAAATCAATGGAGACATAAATCCAACACCACTATAGGTTTTCTATTTGTGCATTCAACTTGGTAGAGAGATTTAGTTTCTACTGAGTCAGAAGGCTTTTTAAAAAGTAGTTTGATCATGGCAGCCCTTGCTGTAGTGATGTTGGCTTTGACTGCCCTGGAGATAAAGACACGAATCCTTACCAGGTCTCTGCTCAGCCCTGGCCACGGCCACGGCCATGTAGGGTAGTCAGCTCCTTGACAGACATCTCACCACCGCCGGTCTTCCCGCCTGCTGCTGCCCTCTCCGCTGGACCATTCTGATCTCTAACTTTCATGTAGGCAAGCTCCTGCCAATTCTTCCTTATTTAGCTTGTCACAGCTTTTCCCTGGAGCTCTRGGACTCCACTTCCTCAGGACCTCCTGCATGCTCCCAAAGCTTACTCATTTTTTATTTTTAAATAGCACTGATCACTCACCACTTCTTTGTCTGTCTCCTTCTATTTCCTCCTCCAAGACCTCTAAGATGTATTTTTTCCCTTGGGGTACCCACACCTAGCAAAGCACTGACTCACAGCAGGAAATCAATTAATATCACCTGAATGAATAAGAGGATAATTGTGTATTGAACAAACAAAAAAACCTCATCTCTAAATAGATCACTGTCCTCCTAGGAGGCAGTGAGGCTCCAGCCACAGTTGTGGGATGGGAAAGCAAGGCATGAGCTGTAAAGGCTCTAAATGTGGCTTGTTCAGGAGAGAGATGGAAGCATGTTTCCCCTTTTTCAAGACAATGTTTCAAATAGGAAACATAAAAATATGTATATATGCTTGATCTGCATGGAGAATGTTTAGAAGGAAGCACAAGAAACAATGAACAGCAGTTTTTCTTTAAGGATGGGAGAAAAACGTTGAACATGAGAGAAGCTCTTGCCTTTATAAACTCTGCTACTCTTCGAGGTATCATGTACTGTCGTGTCATGTTCTGTCCCCCCTCCACTGTTCTTTTTTTCAGTTGTAGGTGGACATAATACCTTTATTTATCTTTATGTGGTGCTGAGGATCAAACCCAGGTCCTTGCACGTGCTAGGAGGCTAGGAGAGTGCTCTGCGGCTGAGCCACAACCCCAACCCACCACCACTGTTCTTTTTGATATTTTGGATTGTCTTGAATTTACAAGCATAGAGGATGATGTCTAATCTTTGCATTCATTCTTCCATATTTGTTCTAGATTTTTAAAAAAATCTAGTACTTGAAGTACTACTGCTCCCTGATCTCATTCATTTATTTCTCCCCCCAAAGGTAACCACAAACCTGAATTTAGTATTTATCAGTCCCACAAATGCTTTTATACATCACTGTCTTTCTACACACACACACACACACACACACACACACATACACGTGCATGCGCACACGAGTTTTTAAAACTTCATATAAATGGTTTTGTATAATATGTATCATTTCACATATTTTTTAAAATTTTGCTTAACATTACCTTTTTTTTTGGTACTAGAGATTGAACTCAAGGGCTCTTTCCCACTGAGATATATCCCAAGTACTTCTTTTTTTATTTAGAGACAGGGTCTCATTAAGTTGAGGATCCTCTTGCTTTAGCCTCCCAAATTGCTGGGTGCACTGTGCACCTGGTGTTTAACATTAAAAAAAAATATTCATACATGTTGATAGGCCTGGATAGTGGTTCACAATATTGGCTGCACACTAGAATCACATGAGGGGCTTTAAAAAATATTGACGTATAGGTCTCACCCTCAGAAATTCTGATGGAACACATGTTCAAATTGAGAACTATGTTGAATTTATTCATATCTTTTTCACTGCTGTATGGAAGAGTTCATTGTATGGATACTTCACAACTCATGTACTAATTTTCTAATTGCTGAATTGTTTCCGATGTTTTGCTATTTAAGCAATCCTTTCATATAAACATTGTTGTGCTTCTCTCTCTGGGCGTGTTCCTCTAGGGTATCTATGCACAGATTTGAATTGGTGGATCACAGATTGAGTATCTTCAACCTTACCAGATACCATATTGCTTTCCAATGAGATTACAACAATTTACAGTTCTATCATTTCTCTGCATCTTTGATAGTTGGTGTGCTCACAGGTTTGTTTGTTTTGTTTTTTTTTTTTTTGGTCAATTTTATGCATGTGAATACTGTTTTATTGTTTTGAATTTCCTGATTATGAGTGAAGGTAAGCTGTCTTTTGTCTATTTTGTTTTTGTCTATTTCCTGTTTTTTCTCTCTCAGCTCCGTTTGTGGACTTTGCAAATGCCTGTGTCCTGCCATACCATGGTCCTCATCTAGAAATATCCGTGGGCATGATATTTGGAGTGCCTTCCCAAAGTGAGACAGAGTACTTGACAGATTCGCTGGCCAAGACATCTAGGGACTGGGTCAGCTCCTGGCCCCCTGCCTCCTGAGCCCCAGGCAGCACATTCTCAGGGGTTTTCCCCATCTTCTTCCAAAAGCAGGGCAGTAGGGGAGCCACATCATAATTCTTGACTTCAAAATGTGATGCTTAATCTGGCTCCATGATTTTCCTGAGACGTTTTCAGATCCTTGTTGTCATCCCTGCTTCAGCCTTACTGCTAGTGTTTCCATCCTGTTTCCATTCCATGAGATAACCACTGTGAGCCCAAATAAGCATTTTCGTGTTTGTTGATTTTACACTTGATGATCACCACGAATGTGAAGTAGCAAGGCTAAGTCAATGTCAGAACTTATTCACCTATCTTGAACATTATATGCTAGGTTTATGATGAAATTTTTTAAAATTATAAAGTCTAAATTTATATTTGAGATATTTTTTCTCAATTTCTTTTTTTGCTGAAGACAGAGGAAGGAGTCAAAGTAATTCAAACACAGATGTGTTTGTGGATGGCAAAGAAAACTAACTTTTGATGAGCAGTGCCAAATAACTCAATAAGCAATCAATTATAAAATATAACAAGATTGGTCACTAGAAGAAATGGTGACTCTCATACAGACACACCTAGAAAACATGACTTACCTGAATGCTCTGTGTTTGCATCCCCTGGAAACTTTTTGGAAACAACTGTTTCCAGAAACTTTCCTTTGAATAGTCAAAATGCACAGCCATTGGTGTGTTATTTTGTTGAATATTAAACCAGACCTATTAAAAGATTAACATAAGGTCAGTTTGAGCCCATGGGAATACAAGGCCCATAGTGATTAGGATGGAGTGAAATTTATAATCTTACTACTTCAGTGAAGTGGCAGAAGCCAAACAGGGTCTGAGGCAGAAGCAGACCCCAGGGCTTTGTGATCATTGGTTCTCCACCTCAAAGGCTCTACAGAATCATCTAGGGGAGCTTTAAGGATAAGAGACTGTCCAACTCCTGTACCCCAGGGATTCTGATTGAACACATCTTCAGACTTCTCCAGCTAACATGTTGCCATGGGCTGGGATGTAGCTCAGTGGCAAAGCATCTGCCTTGTGTTCACAAAGTCCTGGGTTCAACCACCAGTTCCAAAAAAAGACACACACACAAAAAAACCCTATCATATTGCTGGGATGATTCTGTTTTTTTTTTTCTAGATATTTCTTAGTTGTCGAAAATAAACTAAATAAATGGACCTTTATTTTATTTATTTATATGTGGTGCTGAGAATTGAACCCAGTGCCTCACATATGCTAGGCAAGTGCTCTGCCACTAAGCCACAACCCCAGCCCACCAGGATGATTCTTGAGAACATAATTCAAAATAAGATCTACCCTGGATACTTGCATTTCTATCATTGAATAAGCAGTCTACACTTTGTAAGGGACAAAATGGATCAAACTTCTTGTGGCATTGCCCAGTTGATGGATTCCAAAGCAAATATTCATCAATTTCTTGAGTTAATACATAAGCCACATGTCCCTGTATAAGAAAAAAGATTAGAAATATTTTTTTTTCTTTTGTAGTTTTGGGAATCCAATCCAATCCAGGGCTTTACACATGCTAGGCAAGTACTCTACAACTGAGCTACATCCCCATCCCTTTAAGTCCTTTTTGATGGATTTAACTAACTTCTGTATGTGGGAATTGTAATTTAATAATTCCAGTTTTTAAAGGAACTTTTTAAAGGGCTTTTACATTTTTTTTGAAAAGGAAAAAACAAACCCCTCAAAGCTCCATAAATATGTAGGCCAGGTTAGCATGAGAATTCAAATGAAAAAACTTATGTGCTAGTGCCGCCATGCCTGATCCTGCAGGTGCACCCTGACTGCAATACAATGTTACTCTAGCGGAGTCAGTGTATTACCATGGATTTCCAACAGATGGCACTAAAGTTTTGAGGCAGGGGCCCTTTTGTTCAATTCACACAGGGTGCCCTATTAACCAGCCCCACTGGGGTTAGAGTATATTTAAGACTGAGGGTGAACACCAGGCTGAGTTATGGAATAGAAACTGCTTTGAGATTCTGACAGAACCATTAAAGAAGTAAAAGAGTCACTAAATTAAATTTGAGAACAAGATTTGGAATCAGAGGCTAAAGCGAAAGTATAAAGGAAACCGGACTGAGGAATAAAAACAAGTCATATTGTTATTCTGTGGTGTAATACTTTCTTAGCAAAAGAATAAATATGTCAGGTAATAAAAAATAGTAATAATAGCATTTAAAATATTTTATGCATTTATATGTATTGAGCACTATGGTAAGAATTACACTGACTTTCTCACTTTAAGTCACTCCCAATTCTGTGAGGTAGGGATGTTTATTATGCCCGCCTTCCAAATGAAGAATCAGAGGTCAAGGGACTTGTTGGGGGTAAAGGAAAGTGGAATCATTCCAGGTCTGTTAGTAGATAACTGAGGCTCAGAGAAGCAAAACAGCTGACATTATACAAATAGTAAGTGGCACTACAGGGTTTTAAACCCCTGTCTGATTGTGCTCCAAACTCAGGGACAAAATTAACTTAACATTATGTTAACTCCAAAGCCCTCGTTCTTCATCACTGTGTTCAGCTTCTCTCTAGTAAAGAGGAGGCTGCCCCTTCACCACACAGCTAGCTGAAAACCAAGGCTGCCTCCCATCTCATTGGTTCCCAGGTACAAATGCAAAGATTCCTTGAAATACTGTTGGCTGTTTACTGCCACCCAGTGGCCCTCAAAACTACAGCAGGGGATAATATGGGAAATCAACCCCAGGCTGGCTGTTCGTTAACACTTGGTACAGAAATAATAAGCTGTGTCAAGAGAATATAATGGGGGCTGGGGATGTGGCTCAAGTGGTAGCRCGCTCGCCTGGTATGCGTGCGGCCCGGGTTCGATCCTCAGCACCACATACCAACAAAGATGTTGTGTTCGCCGAGAACTAAAAAATAAATATTAAAAAAAAATTCTCTCTCTCTCTCTCCCCCCTCTCTCACTCTCTCTTTACAAAAAAAAAAAAAAAAAGAGAATATAATGAAGTAAGTGACCATAAAAAAAACCCCAAAAGTCCAGAGTGAAAAGTTTACACTTAGAAAGACATTCATGGTAGGGTTGGTCCAAAAAGACAGCTTCCTGGAGGTATGAATTCAGGAGAAGTAAATATATTAAGCTGTAAAAATTTCAGATAGGCAATGAATTTCTAGCCTGTTCTTATAGATAAAATCCTGGAAAATGGGTCATTTTGGAAATTATTTGTTAAACATCTTAAAATATAATATTAGAACACAGAATAATGATGTTGGTAATGATGGATTGATAACTGCCACCACAACTTCACTAAAACTAATGCTACATAATCCCACCATCACCACAATTTATTGTGTATTTGCCATTAACAGGTGCTATTCTCAGTGCCTTAGATGTACTAGGTAATTTAATATTCCTAGAAAACTCAAGAAGTAGCACTATTTTTATGAACCAAAATTATCCTCTTAATTTAATTATTTGCCCACAAAATTCCCTAATTAACTTGCAAAAAGATGAAAACTTGGGGCTGAAATATTTTAAATTTGCAGCTGAAATCTGACTTAATTTTGCTCTCACTATTTCAGCACTTACTTCTAATAATGAGGTTCCCAGGAGGACCAGTGCCTTCTTTCCAAAATACAGAAAGAAATTACAGAGAAGGATGGCATGCTCTTCCTTATTTCCAAGGGCCAAACTGATGCAGCGCTAAGGCAAAAACAAAAAAGGCAACAAGAACAGCAACAACAAAGGAAGAAGAAGAAGAGAGAAAGGAAGGAAGGAAAGAAGGACGGGGAGGTTGAGTAATACATGCAACCAACAAATGTAGGTAGGGCCTTCTGCACCCTCCAGTTCTAGACATAATTATATTTTTAACCATGTTGCTAAGATGACAGCAAAGCAGAAAGCTCTGGTTTTGTTAGGCATTAGAAGAAAACATTCACTTAGAACACTGGGGTCACCCCACAGTGTGGGGACACAGTATAGATATTGTAGAGTGCCTAGATAAATTGCACCCCAAATAGGATGTTTTTCTTAGGACAAATATTAAGCTGATCTAGACAAGCAGGGACATATAAATCAGTATTGTGAGGAACCTTATCAGACAGGGAATGGCATAGTGTTTGGCGGTTGGGTAACCCTTTGGACAATGGAACTACATTCTGTCCTGTACCAATATAATACTTAACTTAAAGGGAGGAGGAAATCTGAGTTGAAAGAATGATTCAAAGATCTGAGCAGCTGAGCACGGTGTAAGGTCAAATACAGGGTACCTAGTAAGGTGAGGTACCAGCAGAGGTGGCAGACTAGTGGTTTATAACCTAGATTTTGTCTACAGGTATATTTTGCTTTGTCCCTAGAATTTTTTTTTTAATAAAAGGAAAATTTCTATAAAACTCTGTTTCTAGTTTCTGTTGAGAAGAATTACAAAGATCTACCAAATATGTGTGCCCAAATGTTTAAATGCAAAATACTCCATATATATGTGAAAAAAGTGTGTGTATGTTTTTGTGTGCGTATGTTTCAGTGCTGGGGATCAAACCCAGCGCCTCATACCTGATAGGCAAGCACTCTTTCACAGAGCTACACTGCAGGCTAAAGCAGCTTCGCTTTAGCTGAGTCATGTGATCTTGTTCATTTCAGTCCCCAGAATGCCAAGGAGATGGGGGGGGGGAATGGGAGGGAGCCAGGGAACTCTTGGTATCAGCAATTTACCAATGGGTATGGAGGTGTTTTGATGTTTTAACAACTGACATGGCCATGTTAGTATGCACAGGCTGTATGTGATCATGGGATGGAAGGAAGATGGTAAGAAGGCCCTCCTGAAAGAATAATGTGAACACAAGAGCTAAAAGGAGATGGAGAGACTTTGAGGAAGTCCCCCTGACTGAATTTCATGGCAAGAAGAGGGAGAGAATAAGCGAATGTAAATATTTTCTTTCTGAGTTCCAGATGTTTTGCATTTAGTCCTTTCAAAACTTCTTTATGATATAGATGAGGAAACTAAGGTCCGATGAGGTTGCATAATTTTTCCTGGATAATGCAACTTTCAAGTCATTAAATTATGATTTGAATCCAGGTTCATTTGACTCCTAAAACTGTATATTAGGTGGGAATCAATAATTTTTATTTTATTCTGGAGCATCTTGTGGCTGGTGACTTCATCAGTGGGAAAACATTAATCAGGAGGAATCCCAAGCCTGTAGCAACCTCCTGTTTATGTGCATCATTTAGGTTGGGAGACTCAGATACTAGTATTTGCTGGCATAGTTACTTTTAGCTTAGTCTCTTTCAGTGTTCTATAGGATTATAATATCCTTGAACACATTCAGATTAAAGAGTCTCAGAAGAGTACAGACTGAATAACACCTTTCTAAATTCCACCAGGTTTGAATTACTGGAGCTTGATACCTAATCATGTGCATATGTCTCCCTTGGTCTCCCTTAGCAGAAGGCAGAGAAGCTGAAGCTATTAAGTTAGCTCTGTGCACCCTAAACCCATTTTAGCTCAAACTCAGCCCTTAAATTATTCTAGATTAAGTGCCAGATTAAGTGCTGCTAAACTGAAAGCAGCATCCAAGTGATAAGCAGAAGAATAAATAAGAACTAGGTTTCCTTCTATATTCAGGAAGGTTACAATTAGAATATATGAATACAGGGTGTGGGATATAGGATGAATTCAGGAGTAATTAAATATAATCTAAGGTGTTATGGAAGAACCACTAAAATTAGGGTTGCCAGATTTAGGAAAAAAACAGTTAAATTTGAATTTTACACAGATGAGTAGCTTTTTAATATGAGTATGTTCCCAATATTGCCCAGGACCTATATTTGTGTGGCAATCAGTCTAAAAAGAATTTTAATCCGATTGCTAAGGAAGAGCAGTACTAGATGAGCTCTTCATTCAGATCAGGGGAGTGGGGAAAGCTTTGGGAAGGTGGTGATGTTGGCTATAGACTTCAGCCTGACCACATCCATAGTGACAAGCTATACTGCTCTCTCAAGAATGTCATAATATTGCACTCCTGAAATTTTCATTGAATCAAAATATTCATGGGCTACCACTTGAATGTTGAAAAGATTTCTGACTTTGATGAATTATTTCCATAGATTGCTACAGAGCTGAAATTGATACATAAATTTATCAAATACTTTTAAATTTCACAAGTACTAAATACATAATATTTTAAAAAAGAAAAGTAATAAATATATTTTAATTACAAAATGTAATCTGTTACCTCTGATGTTATCCATATATCACAATCAGCATTTTCATCCAGTGTGTCAGGCATAAAAGGAATCAAAGACACAAATCGAGCAATGAGGTCCTAGAATCACATTAACATTTACTGAGTGTGAACTCCATCACGAGCACAGTGCTTTGCAAACTTTATTTAGTACACATCGCATATAGTATATTCTACAAGCCTACAGACACTATTATTATTCTAGTTTTAAGGAAGAAGAACCAAACTTAAAACTGATAAGATATTCTATTAGGGTCACACAGCTAATATATAATGTGGATCGTGTGGGGATGAAGCACAGATGGCCTGACTCCAGAGTGCACATTCGTTGTTGAGGACTGCAACCAAGTCAAGATGGCACCTGGCAGTTTGCCAGGAGGAGTGGTTTGTGAGGCAACACCACGGAGCCATTAAGATGATGAGGATTCCCACTGACCTGTCCCCAGGGAGAGGAGATCCCAGCAAAAGGCAACTGGGAGGGGAGGCGGTGCAGTCAGGGCACTGTGCAGTGACAGCCCCGTGGAACCCTGAGAGAACTCCATCATTTACCCCTGGGAGCACCACCACTGTTGACACCTGCACAGAGAAGGCATCAGAGCTTGCTCAGTAGGAGTTTAAAACCCCAGCACAACAAATGAAGAGCCTGAAGAGGCAGAGACCAACAGGAGAAGAGGGAGGATCCTGGATCCTATTAGGACTATCACCCTAAGGACCATGTTAGCTAAAAACCATAAATGCAAAGCTGACGTAGGAAATGCAAAGAAGTGCATTGTTAGCCACAGAGGGGTGCGCATAGAGCAATCACTAATATTGCAATGACCCATTTCTTTGCCACACACTCTGATGTTACCTGAAGGTAACATCAGGTAACTTCTGAGTTCTTTCAATCTAAATAAACTGATTGGAAAATCTTAAAAAAAAAAAAAAGATGATGAGGATTCCTTATTGGCTGACTACTGTATCTAGATAATGCTAATTGAGTCAAGCTGTGTGTAATCAGTAGGTTATATATACCTCTGTTGTTCCGTAATAAAGCAGCTCCCGTTTCAACCTTCAAGTTGCTTGTCACCTCCCGGTTATTTGCCCAGCCAGACTGCGGCAATTAGTAATTAAATTTTATTATAATAAATTATTAAAAATTAAACATAACAATATGCATCAAATAAAATATTCACCATAAGTACAAATGTTGAAAATTTAAAAAGATGTTGCAAAATAGCAAATGTTTGATTTGCTTTTAGGTTCAAAGACTGAATTGGTTTTCTCAATGTAAGCTTGTTATAAGCTATACTATATGCATCAACATTAAACATGTGGTAGAAAGTACAAATGTTAAACTTTTTAAAATGTTTGCTTTTAGGTTGAAAGCCTGAATTTATTTTTTTCAATGTAAACTTGTCATAAGCTGCTGCCACAAGAGATAGTGGTACAGTCTGCTTTCTCAAATAGCAAAATTTCTACTGTCGATTTTCCCCCATAGGGTGCTGGAGACAAAGATGCAGAGTAAGGGAAGAAGGGAAAAAGGGTTATATTTCTTTGTATTAAGCAAATAATAATAAGTTAACACAGAAAGCTCATTATCATTTTCATTAATGTACAGTAGCTGCCAATTATGCACTATTATGACCTTTTACACTGGTGGCTCCATGCAGTTAATACATATGGTTCACAGTCCTTGACAAGCAAAGAAGTTAAGATTTATTTATTTAGGGACTGGGGTTGTGGCTCAGCGGTAGAGCACTTGTCTAACACATGAGGGGTGCTTGGTTCGATCCTCAGCACCACATAAAAATAAAAATAAAGGTATCATGTCCAACTACAACCAAAAAAATTTTTAAAAAGATTTATTTATTTAAACATAAAAGATATGCCTTTGACATAAATCTGAGAACTCTATTATCTCCTGGACACCTATGCAGGAAGAAACAGAAAAGCAGATAATAACAAAAGCAACATGAATCAAGACTTTCGATTTTAACTTAAAGGGAACTTTATAACTCACATATACTATATAACTCACTTATACTATAACTATTCAGAGGAAGGACAACTGACTAGATTGAACCCAAATAAACAAAAGGCATATGTGATTCTTCATAGATACTCTTTAATCACAGCAAATTTGTTTTAAAATAATTGTTACTTACAAGTGTTGCATTAGAATCATGAAGAAATGTATCCAGGAGTTGTTGAGGTGGATTTAATGCCTTGATATATCTTGTTACTAATATCTGTATCCCTTCATCATTAAAAACAGTAGTTATGATTCTTCTGTTGGGAAACACTAGTTTACAATTTTGTTTAAAAACCTGTGCTCTCTGCAAAACATCTGTTTGGTCTGAAAACTAGAATAAAATTGAAAGTATTTCAGCATTGTACTATATTATTCCCAAAGGAAAATAACAAAAGCCAATGTTTATTTTTGTCAGCTCTGAAATTATTGATTTTTGAAATAATTTATCCTTCTTTGATAACGTATTTAAAAGAAATTCAGTGTAAGACCTACCTTATCTAGTTTGGGATTAAAGGCAATGTATGATATTTGAGGTTCAATAGTAGCAAAAATATTTAAGAAGGTACATTCTTTAAAATTCTGCCCATTGCAATAATCTTCTTTAGGCGATACGTAAGTCTTACTCCAAGTGTACCCAAGTAAAACTGGTGGAATATTTACTTGAAATGTTCCACTAATCTGAAAGAACATATTGACATAATAATTATGCATGATAAAAATCAACATCAATTATATTATAGTTAAATATATTATAGGCCAGCCCCATCTCCTCTGCAAGAGGGAACAGGCTTACACAGGTACTTGATTGAGCATGACCAGGTTCTCTGGGATGATCTACAGATACTTTTGACACCTTGGGTCCTGCCTAATATGTACTTGGGAAGGAGTGAGAAAGAGATGAAGCAAGGAAGCAAATTACTATACCATAGTGATAAAAGTGCTTGAAAAATATATTTTAGGCTCACAGAAGATGCTTAACAATTATGTTATATATATATATTTTAACAAGATGCCCAATATTTTTTAATATTTATTTTTTAGTTATAGGTGGACACAATGTCTTTATTTTATATTTATGTGGTGCTGAGGATTGAACCCAGTGCCTACCTCTGAGCACAATCCCAGCCCCAATTATGTTATATTTTGATTGGACCCAGAGGGAAGAAAAAATGTTATAGCAGGAAAGATAACCTGAAGTCCACATGACAAGGGAACAGGTGTGTGTGTGTGTGTGTGTGTGTGTGTGTTGTGTGTGTGTTGTGTGTGTGTATGCACACATGAGAGTGTGAGAGACATCACCCAGTGGAATAGATACTGTCCTGATGTTCACTTTATACTAAGGAAACTGAGGCTCAGATTGTTGAAGTAATTGGTGGAAGACCACAGAACCAATGAGTTGTAGAGCCAGGATGACAACCCAGGTTTGTCCATCTCTGAAGCCACATTCTTGCCTACCTCCTGTCTAGTTTCAGAGAGTAGCTGCAGGGATTGATGAGTGTAGGAAGTCTGTACCTCCAACAACATAGATCCCTGTCACTCTTTATTTGCAGCATGCTCCCTCAGACATCATGTGACTACACGTTATGCAGGCACTTCTGCTCTCTCACCTAGTATCCATTCTCTCTTCCTTTCTTATCAACAGTTTTAGTTGGTAATGTGACAGCCAGGTAGAGGCCATGTCACATAAGTAAGATGCAAGCAGAAGTCCACTGGGGTTTTCTGAGGAAGCTTCTGTTTTCCTAGTTAGGCACTGACAGATTTTGTTTCTCCCTATCTCCTGCTGCAACATAGATATGAGGCTAGAGTTGCAGCGAACATTTTGCAATTAAGGGAATGAAAGACATATAATAATAATAGTGGGAAAGAAAAACAAGTTGCTTAGATTCTTGATGATATCCTGGAGCTGCTGCGCTGGCAGTGCAGTAGACCCCATACCTACTGTTGAGTTTTCTGTCACATATGGCAGAGTGCAGTCCTAGCTAATACACACCTGATTCCTTCTCACTCAAATGCCTTCATTTGCTTGAGAAATTCATCTTCAAGAATTTGACTCAAAAGTCATCTCCAGTGAAGGCTTCCTTGACCTCTCATTCTTCTCTTAGCCAACACCAACCTCTCCAAGCCCTGACTAGAGCCCAGAAAGAGTAAAGCACTACTATATATGTTTTCATAGTACAGCTCTCATGCCTCTACTAAAGCTTGATAGCATAACGCATATTACCAACATGTTGGTTTTATTCTGTAGATAGTGAACTCGTTGAGGTAGAAAACCCACTTCTAAATCTTCACATCTTCAGAGTCTAGCACAACCTTGGAGATGTCAAGTGCCTGGCCTAGGAGCCCTCACTAAGGGTGACAGAGCTCAGAATGGAGTCTAGGGCAGTGGATTTATGCTTTCTTGGCATTTTCCTGCCAGGTAACCCAAGAGCAGAGCTCTCTGAGGGTCTCACAGAGATCAGTTCTAGTCATCAGTCTCATCATTATTTAAAAACAGTGCCCACAAAATGAAATTCTTTGGATTCAATGATTATAAAGCAACACCATTAATCAGAATGTTTCATAAACCCGGTCTCACAAAATTCACATATGCAAATATGAATGTTGCTCTAAGGCTAGTTATTCTTTCTTACTAAATGCTCTAAAGATATAAGAAATAAATTTGTGGGCATACCCTGTTCTGAAGACAATCAAAACCCTCAAACACTCTGAATCTCCAAGTATTCTCCTACAGGATCATTTCAACTAACTTTCCAACCAGTAGGTCACAGAATCTAATTTAAAAACAACATAAAGCATTTTCATTAACCAAAAGCAATTAGCAAAGAACCATTTTCTTACCTCAGATTGTTGCAGAAGAGCAGAGAAAGGTAAGACAATGGAACCAAGCCAGTTTTTTCTTAAATATGAGTGACAAGTACAGCTCTTGAGACAGTTATCCTATTAAAATAAATTAAAATTAAATTTACTAAAATAAAGTTTCTATTWCTTAATGTCATGTGATGAGCAGTTTCAAAAATCCACAGGTCATTAAAATAATTTTTATTCTCTTTTTAAAAGAAACTAAAAGCTAAAAAGAAATACATTTTTCTTGCTTTTTAATTTTTTCAAAAGATAATTGACTATTTAAAGCAAAAATATGACTGTTATGTAGTTTATGATATTTATAAGTAAAACATATGACAATATTAGCACAAAGAATAGGAAATTTCACAATAGCCCATTCTTCCAATATATGTGGAGTGGTACTATGTTTTATAAAGGTAACATGTGGTAAGTTAAAATATATATTGTAAACCCTACAACAATACTTAACAAAGAATCATAGCCAATAAGCCAGGGTAGAAATAAAATGAAATTATAAAAGTACCGTAACAATCCAGAAGAAGGCAAAAGAAAAATAGGTGGAATAAGCAGAAAAACAATAGGAAAATGGAACACAGATCAATAATTATACAAGTGTAAATGGACTGTTTTAGTCAGCTTTTCATTCTGTGACCAAAATATCTGACAAGAATAATTTAGAGGAGGAAAAGTTTATTTTGGCTTATGGTTTCAGAGGTTCAGTCCATAGTCAGCCAATTCCATAGCTCTGAGCCTGAGGTAAGGCTGAACATCATGGTGGAAGGGCTAGAGGAGGAAACAGGTACAGGACATAGCAATCCAGAAGGGTGGGGGGAGAGAGGGGGAGAGAGAGAGAGAGAGAGAGAGAGAGAGAGAGAGAGAGAGAGAGAGAGAGAGAACACACTCTCTGTTCACCAGGGATAAAATATAAATTTCAAAGGCACATCCCCAGTGACCTATTTCCTTCAAGCATACCCAACCTGCCTATAGTTACAATCCAGTTAATCCATAACAGTGGATTAATCCACTGATTAGGTTATACCTATCATGATGTAATTATTTCACCTCTGAAAATACTTGCATTGTCTCACATATGAGCTTTTGGGGGACATCTCATATCTAAACCCTAATATTCTGCCTCTGGCCCCCAAACTCATGCCCATTTCACAAAATACAAAATACATTTAGTCCATTTCCAAGAGTTCCCATAATCTTAATGGTTCCAGCATTACCCAAAAGTCCCAGTTCAAACTCTCATCTGAGACTCAAGGCAAACTCATAAATTTTAAAAAAACTTGTAAAGCTCAAAAGCAAGTTACATATATCCAATATATAATAACATAGAGTAAACATTTCCATTTTATTAAGAAGAAATGGGGACACAAAAATTAATCATAGGACCAAAGTAAGACCAAAATCCAGCTGGGCAAAAAAGTTCCATAGCTCTATATCCAGCATCTGGGGCACATGGCACTGTGATGTTTTCTCCACAGGGATTGTGTAGTTTTGCCTCGGTAGCTTTGCTTGTTGCACCTCACATGGCCTCTCACATGGTCACTGAAAGATTCCTGCAGCTTTCCTCAGTATACATTTCATATTACTGGCATCTTGGAAGACTCCAATGAAGCTCTGGCTTCCTTCTCATGCATTGCCCTCTCTGAGGAAGCCCAAAGGGACTCTGACCCTGCTACACTTTGCTTGGACTGCCAGGTCTCCCTTTGAAAGCTTGCTGGATGTCTTCATGACCCCCTATATCCAGCATCCTGCAATCCTGAAGATCCAGTACCAAGTGGTTGATTGCAAAGGTCTGCTACTGTACTGAGAAGTAGTCAAGCTTTCTAGAACTCTGGCTGCAGCAGTCCCCGAGTGCCTGTGGCTGACCACAGTAAAACAACTTCCTAGGTCCCCCTGTCTAAGTTGGGTGCCCCAGTGGTTTCTTCTCAAAGGAATTTTTACCTTCACACCCTTGAGCCTCAGATGGGTATGGTTTTGTCAATTTCTGAAATGCCCTTAAGCCATCTTTCCTATTATTTCTGGGTAAAGTACTTAGCAATGTCTCTTTAGGGGCTGTAATTTCTGTAACAACCACACCTTCCTTAGCCCCAGTTTTACTTGCATTTTTTCTGGTCAAATGGCAAGTTTTTCAAATCTTTCTGCTCTTATTTCTGCTGTTGACTGTCACAGTTAACTTGACTGAAAGCCATCAGTAATATTTATGCCACCACCTGAAAGCTGTGCTGCCTTGAAGTTTCCTCCACCAGATTAGTGCATCAGCCTCACAGAAACCTCAGGACATGGGCAAAATGTAGACAACTTCTTTGCTGGATGGCCTCTAGTCCAGTTTCCAGTATAGTCCTCCTTCCCTCTTGAACCTCATGAGCCTACTCTTTACTGTTCATAGTCCTATTGGCATTTTGGTCTTCTGAGGTCCCACCAGAATAGTCCATTAAATTCCACTCATAACATTCTAAAACCTTTCTAGCTTGACTCTCAAAACTTTTTATTCCTCCCACAAACCAGCTCCTAAAACTTCTGAACCACATGCTTAAGTTAGTCACAGCAACAGCTCTACTTCTTGGTACCAATTTCTGTTTCAGTCAGCTTTTTGTAGCTGTGACCAAAGTATCTGACAAGAACAATTTAGAGGAGGAAAGGTTATTTTGGTTCATGATTTCATAGGTTCAATCCATGGTTATCCAACTCCATATCTGTGGGTCTGAGGTGATGTAGAACATCATGTTGGAAGGGTATGGCAGAGGGAGGTGGCTCAGGACAAGGCAACCAGGAAGGGGAGGGGTGAAGATAGAGAAGGGGTGGGTACTCCACTCACAAGGTCAAAATATAAGCCCCAAAAGCACACCCTCACTGACCTACCTCCTCCACCCACAACCTATCTACCTATAGTTACTGCCCAGTTAATAAGATTACCAGATTAATCCATTGATTAGGCTACATCTCTCATAATCTAATCATTTCACCTCTGAAAATTTTTTCATTGTCTCACACATGAGTTTCTGGGGACCCCTCAGATTTAAACTGTAACATGGACATACATTAAAAGTCAGAGATTTTCAGAATGGATAAAAAGGCAAGACTCAACTATATGCTGCTTACCATTTTAAATAAAGATACAGGTTAAAAGAAAGAAAAAGATATGTCATATGAACACTAAAAGAAAGTCACAGTGACTATATTTATAGCTGATCAATCAGATTTTTTTTTCAGTCCTAGGGATTAAACCCCAGGCCTCATACCTGCTAAATATGTGTGGTATCACTGATCTACATCTCCAGCCCGATAAAGCAGATTTTAAAGCAAGAAATATAAAGACTAAAGAGAGATATTTCATAATAGTAGAGGATCAATTCTTCATGAAGAAATACCCTCCTTCCTAAATGTATGTGAACTTAAGAAGAGAGTTGCAAAAATAGAGCTGAAAAATATGAGGACAGAAGCAAGTGGCTCCATCAAAATTAAAAACCTCGTCCTTCAAAAGACACTATCAAGAAAATGAAAATATAATCTGTATACTGGGAGAAAATATTTGCAATTGTGTGTGATAAATGACATGTAAAATATACAGAGAACACTCAAAATTCAATAATAAAAAATAAGTAGCTCAATTTAAAAACAAAGAACATAATTGAAATATTTTACCAAAAAAGATATGTAGATGGCAAATAAATACATGGAAAAGTGCTCAATATCATTAGTCATTGGTCAATACAAACTAAAATCACAATAAGAAACCATCACATATCTTTTAGCATGGCTAAAATTTAAAAATCTGACAAAATATTTGTAAAAAAAGAACTGTGTCGTACGTTTCTGGTGCAAACAAACAAACAAAAAGTTACAATCACTTGGAAAAAAGTTCAGAAGCTTTTCATCTTAATATCCAGCCTTTCATTTTCTAAGAGAAATGAAAGCATTTGTCTATAAAAAGACTTGTATATAAATGTACATAAATGTTCTTAGAAGCTTTATTTTAATAATTAAAAAAAGAAAATTGGGCTGTGGGCATATTCAGTGGTAGAGCACTTATCTAGCATGTGTGAGGCCTTGAATTTGATCCCAACACCTCAAAATACAAAAAAGGAACCAAAAAAAAAAGAAAACCCACCGAAAATAACCTAAATGTTCATCAACAAATAAACAATGGGATACTACTATACAATAAAAAGGAATCAATTACTTGATAAACACTACAACATGATAAATCTCAGAATAATTTCTTCTGAGTGAAAGAAGCAAGACCAAGGGGAAAAAAGATTACATACTGTATGATTCCATTATTATTTTTTTGAAATATAATTTCATGTTTATTGACTTGCAAAAGAATTCAAAATATCATCATATCAGGTTATAAAATGGTATGTATAATATAATATTTTAATAAAAAAGATGCAGCTAATCTGGATGAATTTATCACACAAATATTAACATTAGTAAGATCATTGGAATTTAGTTAATTTCAACACTTGTACAAATATTATGCAGTACAATGTGACATTTCAGTTCCTGTATACATTGGGTTATGATGATTCAGTTTCTATAAAATTGCATAAAATATAAACTATAGTGACAAAGCAGACCAGTGGTTGCCTGGGTGGGAGACGCGAAGGAGAGGAAGGGAGATGTCAACTGGGCAGGGGAAGACTTTTGAGGATAATGGATATGCTCATTTTCTTGATTGTGATGATAATTTAATGGTGTATAAGAAGTGGTGTGGGGCAAAAGGACAGTCAGGGTAGGTAATAAATGATTTAATCAGAAAGATGGGAGTTCCGGCTGGTGTTGTAGCTCAGTGGTAGAACACTTGCCTCACTCACACTTGTGAAGTATTGGGTTCGATCCTGAGCACCACATAAAAAAATAAAGTATTATGTCCATTTACAGCTAAAATATTTAAAAAGAAAGAAAGATGGGGGCTCATTCAAGAGGAAATAAAATACCTTCAGATCACTCCATTTCCTCCAACCTGTTGTCAAAGATACCTGCCTCCAAGGGATTGTTCCTCCCTGCAGGGAGTTGCAGGGAGTTGTAGTTGCAGGGAGTTGTAGGTGTTGTTAATGAATGAAGGCCCCTTGGACTGC